CGAGAATCGATCGACATCGAGAATTTTCGAATACGTATCGTAAACGTTTCGAGTCCTCGATACGTTAACGGAGTTTTACGATAGGCGGTAGCACGAAGCACTAACGCTAAGGTGTCGAGAGCTCGATACGATTACGTTAGTGACGCTATGTCAATAAATTGTTTATTATTTTTATTGTAAATTCATCACCAAGTTTAAGATTATTTGTAAACCTTGAAACTTTAAGAATCATTTTATAGAAAATATTAATTGTATTATTACGTCGTGTTGGCTGTCGATTGTGACAAAAATCTAAGCTTCCAATAATAGCTAAGTCGTATACCACTAGACCGTTGAGTGTTATGTGAAAAGAAACTGATAAAGATTTCTTTAAAATAAACCACAGTAAGTCGAGAAACAATAAATCGAACTGTTGAACAGCACAGACGAAGACGTGTTTCATCATCTTTTGCGCCAAAAATCCCAACATCAAAAAAGTCAGTGCGAACAAGCCACTTACAACACGTGGTTATGGTGTAATTTCTTGAAAGGTGAGTGTTTATTAAATTTACTATTTGCAATACTCAATGTACTGTAATATAAAATAACGATGTCATGTTTGAGAATATGATAAATTTCATATTTATAATTCAATTTCTCGTTGTAATGAGACTTACACTGCTACTTGACATTAAAATAAAGTTTCAATTGTAAATATAGATAACACCCGTCACTTTATAAATGAAAAATGAAATGAAAAGAAATTAAACACACCACCACAGCAATCCTACAGATAAACATACCAGGGACAACTAATGTCTCATATCAGTCAATCTAGGTTTCAAAGTACAAGTTCTGCTTAGTTTGAAACTAGATGGTGTTGTGTGTCAGATGTCTGAAAATACATATTATATTCGTTATTATATAAGTAAAAAATGTTGTAATATTTTGTTGTAGATTGGAATACTGGGGGCTCAAGCAGCCAACCGACTGTGGCTCCTCCTTTACCAGCATCTGAGGTTCATTCTCAGTCTTCCCCAGTCACCGCAGTGGCAGAGGAGTGGAAGCCTCCAGAAAAAAAAACAACTCAAAACAAGCAATGATATTTTAACCGTTAATAGAATCGTAATCGTGTGAAAAAAATTTAAAATTATTAACTAGACATATAATTATTTCAAAGTAAATAATGTTCTCTGTAAATAACAAAATAACATGTATGTATGTAATGTATAAAAACCAACTCTGTATAATTCATTTTAAAATTATGTTAAATAAAAAATATTCATACTAGCTCATTTTGTACTATATGCCTTTCATCCCTGTCTGCTGTGTAACCCCATCTATCTAACCAAATTTTGTACGAGCCTAGCAATGCCGCTTTGGATATTTGTTCAAGGAAAAAGCTTACTGAAGCAATCCAAGGTCTTTAAACAGGTTATAGAGGGATTTAGCTGGTATACCCCTCGCACCCACTTCCACGGCATACAACGCAACGAAATAACCATTTTTAGTTATTTCGTTGGTTAAGTCAAACTACTTTTTAGCTTCAAGCGATATATTTTGAAATTCGTTGTCATTTATATTTAAAGGACTAGCTGGTGTCTGAAACTTCGTTTGCGTAGAATTTGAAAAGCGTAGCCTTAGTGGGTTCGATTCCCGGACCGGGCAATTTTTTTTAGCCTAAATTACTCGTTATATAGACATCTACCTGGTAGTAAAATATTATCAAAATCAGTCCAGCCGTTTTGAAGATTACCCGAACAAACAGACAGACAAGAAATATTTAGACTGGTTTTTAGACAAGGTATTTTTGCAAAAAACCGTGTGAGCATAAAAAAACCTATTATTTTATATTACAAACAGACAGATTTTTCTTCACTTTTATCTTTCTTTATTTATATCTTCGCCTTATTTCACTAAAAAATAATTGATTACATTAATATACTCGTATATAGGTACATACTAAGTATACTACATTTTATTAATATTGTAGAAGTTTCTTCAAATGTTTCTGACAAATATTTAGTTCACTTTATAGATAAAACAAGATTTGCTTACCTCGAATCTAGTTGTTGAATACCCTTATTTTCAATTCAACTTGCTACAAGAACATACATAGGACTAAAGCGGCGGTCTTTGCATTTTATCTCTACAAAAAATTAACCGTTAATACTTGAAAATAATAGTTTTAGAGAGATTGATTGTTGAGACAAGAATTTGATTGTTTCGAAACTTTTCTCACGGCTAAATCTTAGGTGAATAAACAGTCGACTAAGCTCAACAGGTGCTCGATAGCCAGCCTTCGAACGTACGTCAAAATTTCATTCGTGCTGCCAATTTTCTTTATAAAGTGTAACGTATCGAATTCTTGACGATACGTTTACAATACGAAAGTAAATTCGAAACGTTCGTGCTGCCAAAATTAGTTACTTTACGCACGATAGGGGCGCTGCACAAATGTCATACAAATTTTGTCGAAGACGATACGAATACTTTTTCGCAAGCTTTTCGTACTCGGGGCACAGAAGGCTTACGGTGAATCGACTTTATCAAAAACACGTGCTTATGAGTTTAACAAAGCGTTCAAAAGCGGTCGAGATGTGATGGAAGATTTGCCTCGCTCTGGTAGGCCATCAACGTCTGTAACTGAAGTTAACATCGCAAAAGTGAAGGAAATAGTGACTGAAAATTCTCATTCAACTTGGAGAGAGATTGCCGCCAAACTTTCTTTGGAGAATTTTTTTGGATTTTGCACCACATTATCGTGGTGCAAAATCCAAAAATTTTGGCGCCTTCGCACAAGGCATGATTGTGAACGAATTTTTGACCAAACGCTCAACAAATACCATCGAGCAACCACCATATTCACCAGATATGGCTCCAGCCGACTTCTTTCTTTTTTCTAAACTCAAATTACCACTTCGTGGCACCCGTTTTCAATTGGTAGAAGACATAAAGGAGAATTCGCGGCGAGAACTGAACTCAATTCCGGAAACATCGTTTAAAAAATGTTTTGATGATTGGATTATTCGTTGGCGTAAGTGTATTGTTTCTGAAGGAGCATACTTTGAAGGGGATAAAATAAATTTGGATGAATAACAAACATTTTGTGTATTATTGATCTTTTCCCGGTATTTTCCTGACAGAGTAGTATGTCATCGAACCCATCTGATACAGTCTGCTATAAACAAATACACAACAATTCGCTTGAAACATTTAGCTAAGAAAAAGTAACTTATTTAAATGGGAATGGTTATATTGTTCAAGAGTAATTAGATAAACATATTATTACAAAAATATACTTATAGGCTTTATTTTCAAAATGAAATCAAGTCAATAAAAATGTCGCATCTCCATGCTTGTTATCTTATATCTATGAGAACGCAACACTCCCCTACTTACCCCACGCATGCCCAGGTGTCATCAAGTTCACCAGGGACTTCCTTTCTAGGGCCTGGTTCCCCGGCTATTAGTACCCGAGAAGGCGTGCGGTTTTAGTCGGTTCGAGTCCGACATGCCACCGACAGGTGGTATCCGAGGGGATTTCCGCACGGAAAAAAAAAGGTGTCATCAAGTTGCGCGCTATCTTTGTTCGAATTGGCTTTTATAGTAAGTATTTTCCGTCTAATCTAAGAGGTGCCGTTTGACAGTTCTGAATAGGGAGAGGGTAAAATAAATCGAATACTACAATATCCGATTCTTAAGAGATTTCGAAATCATTTCTTAGTATTTATTAATCGATTATAGTTTTACATAAATATATAGGTAACTGTAAAAGCCCGTACATTACTGTATCTTAGGTTTTACTAGTTAATTTTACTATATAAAATGTGTGTAGGTAGAAATCATAATTTTAGGAGAGAAAAAAAATCAGGCTTTTCAGTTTCATTCTAGGCTAAACTAGCTAGATTTAAAAAAAAAAATGTGTTTTTGTTCAGACTTGGAGACTTGGACTTTGGACTTGGATGTCAACTGAAATTTAAGTATTATTAAATACTAAAAGACGCCTAGATTGAAAGCAGTTTGTTATTACTAAATTCGATTATTTCTTTATTTTTACGATTATTCGTATACAAGTGAACTTGAAGAGTCGCAACACTACGGTAAATGACCTATCTACACTTTGAAAAGAAGTTTAAAAAAAGTTATCTATTGTATATATTGGTTATTGTCATTTGTTTAAAAATTTAAATGTAGTAATTAAGTAACCGTGTGGTGACGGATTAAGAATACAGAGTGTCACCACCCCTATTCATCCCGTGGGTGTCGTAAAAGGCGACTAAGGGAGCAAACTACTCAGGACAACAGTACTGCAGAGAGAAGGAAAACGTGACACAAACCCTATACCAACCCGTCTTACCAGCGTGGTGTAGTAGGCCAAAACCTCCTTTCTAAGGAGCGGCCTATGTCCAGCAGTGGACTAGTAAAGGCTGTTTGTTGATGATGATGATGAATAAAGTAACTATACATCTCGTGATAAAATCAAAATACCATCATAATACTATGGTTTTACGGAAAAGGTTATTGAAATTGTGTGAGTTACGCCTATACAAAGTTGTTGGGTCTTGAAAAGTATACAACGCCAAACGGTAGGTACCGTTTGGCGTTGTATACTTAGTTATATTTAGATTAGATAGACTACCTACATAATAGTAGATTATAACTCAATGTATGGCGAGCCAATCATTGTTATTTCAACGTGTGGATACTTAATGCACTAAATAATTGATTGTCAGGGCATAATAAAACAGTGATGCATTTTATAAAATTTTATTGCATGGCAATGTTTGAGGAAACAAATTAATAAAATTGTTTGATTAACAAATTATTACGCTATGCATATGTAAAACATGTTAATCGTATTAAGACTAGCAGTTAGCTTGCATATAATAGATAAGTATAGTAAATATAACATTTAAAGTATTAAACTCAAAAAGCTTCATAAAACAAGGAATACAACAATATATGTTAGCCTGTTATCGGCTTAAGACATGTCTGGATAACAATGAATATTGTATTTATCACGGCTGCCTTATTTTTGTAGCATAAAATTTGTGTTCACGAGAATCGCGTGTATGTTTAAAAGGAGCCCGTCCTGTTTCAATCAACGAAGCAGGGCAAGTGCCGTGAACATGCGAAGTAAATTCGCGTTTGTAGCTTGTATTGCCATCGCCTAAAACAAAATGCGAAGTATTTCCATGACGTGAGACCCGCTCCACACGCTCTACACGGTCACTTCGCTCTGAGCGATCGACTCTCTGAACATGTTCTGATCGCGAAAAGTTGCCATAAGAACGTGCCTCCGATTGACCGTAAAACTCACCACCAACTTTCAGATTGTCTCTGACGACTCTCGGTTGACGGTCCACCACCATTGTAGATTGCCCATCTCTTCTAGTTTGATTACGATGAGTGTCCCCACTTTCGTGTTGTGATATGACACCCATATTCTCCCTTGTAGAGCGATGTATCGAACTAATACTTTTCCTGTCTGCGCTATGGGTGGAGTTACTTATATATTCACCTCGTTCCGAAAGATTGCCGATGCTCTTTCTTTGCGCTGCTGCTGTAGAGCTAATGGAATGATGAGCTTCTGTGGTAGATTGTACTCCGCGACGATGTAAAATTGAGTTTGTGGAAGAGGAATCAGAAACGAGGTCAGATGTTCGTTTGTGATGTCCACTACGTGGGGTATTATTAACAACGGTAGATGATAGAGTATCACCACCGCCATGCATAGCCCTTTGGAACTCAATACTAGTGTTTGTAACACTATCACTCAGCTGGCTCCTGTTTACTGAATGTGTCGAACTTGCAGTATGTTGTTCACCGTGACTACCTTTGTGTGTAACTGAGTTAACATTTCTCTGTATATGACTCTCAGTAACAGGACCTTGATTTATTGATGATCTTCCGGATCGATCAGTGGTTATAGTTCTCTGAATAGTATCGCCACCGACTTCTCTAATTATATGATGACCATCCGGTCCAGTAAAGTTTTGACCGGTTTGATTTCTAGAAATAATTGTGCCTCCCGTGCTTTTTTGAGTATGACCTTCAGAAATTGTTGTGTGACGTTGATTTGAACTTAAGGTTTGGCTAGAATGTGATGATGTAACTGTCTCTTCAGAGGAATTCATTCTTCTTGTATTATCAGTATATTGTTGTGTGGAACGGGAATTTTTTTGATTAATAGCGGTTATTTCTTTAGATCCCTGAATCGTATTGACAGTATCTTGATTAGTTGATGACTTAACTTGTTCAATTCGCTGAGTTGAATCACCTCCAACCTGCGGAGGACGCTGTGAACGTTCATCAGCATCTCTGTTCGGGGATGACCGCTGAGGTGTAAATCTTCCTGAATCACCTCCGCTTACGTCTACTTCCACGTTTCTAGTGACCATCACCCACTTTCCGCCTCTAAGCTTCTTTTCTGTAATTTGCCTTGTAGTTTTCGTGGTTGTGGATGTCACAGTTTTCGTATGTTTAGTATCGCTTTTGTTTACAATGTTCTTTTCTGTGCTACTTCTGGACACAGAACGATCAGTTACATTAACCGTTTTGTTGCGATCGTTGCGATCCATAACGTCGTTTTTCGCAACTCGATCTACATATTTGTGTGAATCACTACGGTCAATGATATCGTGTGATGTATTATATTTAATGCGAGTATCAGATTGTGTATTCGACGATGTGGAATGATCAACATTACTGTAAGATTGCCTCAAATGACTATCGGTGTGAGAAGATCTGTCGTCATGGCGTACTTGATTATCATGGCGTGATGTACTTTGAGATACGGCATCATAATTGTCATGACCCACAACAGTTTTACTTTCGAATGACCTTTTTGTTGACTCATTTACTTTGAATTTAGATGCATCATGTATAGTCGTCTCCCCATTTACATTCCTAAGATTATCTCGTGGTTTCATTTGGTCCGATTTTTCTGCTGGACTCCATTTCTGCGGACCTGGACGATCGAATTCTCCTTCAGATTTCAAATTATCTTTTGGACGGATTTGATTAGGAATCTCTCCCGGAACCCACTTATTTGGAGTACGAATATCCATGTCACCTTCAGGATACAAATTATCTTTTGGTTTAATAGGACTTCTTTGGTCTCCAGTCTGCCATTTTGGTCTTGTTGGATAATTTATATCACCTTCTGTTTGTAAATTATCTTTAGGTCGAACCTGGGATGGCGTGTCACCTGGAGCCCACTTAGTTGTTGTTCGTGATGCCATCTCTCCTTCAGGATATAAGTTATCTTTTGGACGGACCTGAGCAGGAATTTCTCCTGGCTGCCATTGACTCTTTGGTCTGTCTGTGAAACTGCCTTCAGGGTGTAAGTTATCCTTAGGTTTTACCTGCTGTGGTCTCTCCGTTGGTGACCATTTTGATTTTGAAGGCCTCTCAAAGTTACCTTCTGGTTTTAAATTATCTTTGGGTCGAACCTGTTCGGGTGTTTCGCCTGGGACCCATTTGTTTGGTGAACGTGAATCCATGTTACCTTCAGGCCTTAAGTTATCTTTCGGACGAACCGGAGTTGGAGTATTTCCAGGTTGCCAATGAGTCTTCGGTCTATCAGTAAATTTACCTTCAGGATATAAATTATCTTTAGGTCTAACTTGATCAGGTCTGTCTCCAGGCTGCCATTGCGTTTTTGGTCTATCGGTGAATTCACCATCAGGATGTAAATTATCTTTTGGCCTGACTTGATCCGGCCTATCTGTTGAGGTCCATTTTGGCCTCGAAGGTCTGTCAAACTCACCCTCTAGTTTCAGATTGTCCTTGGGGTGAACTTGTTCTAATGTATCTTTCGGCTGCCTGTAAGTATTAGGGCGATCAACAAAAGGTCCTTCAGGTTGTAAATCATCTGATCGGTCAATATATACGGGACGTTCTGCAGTTTCCCATTTTGGTCTTGAAGGTCTATCAGATTCACTCTCTGGTTTCAAATTGTCAGTTTGTTTATGAGGTGTATGTTTCTCATCAATTTCTGGTTCTCGTTTAGGTTTTCTTTCAAAATCTTCTGGTTTTAAGTTGTCTGTAGGATATACTATCGCTAATCTTTCGCCTCTCGTGACTTTATAATCATCTCTACGAGTGTGATCTTCAAATACCCCCTCGATTTTTAGATTATCTTCCCTACGAGTTAATTTTACTCTTTGACCTTTTACCACTCGGTAAGTATCAGATGATCTTGTGTTTTCCATTTTGCCTTCCATTCTTAGATTATCTTCGTGTTTGACAATAGCAGCTCGTTCACCTACAACTTTTGTATAATCGTTTCTTTGTTTCATGTCTATAAATTCTCCTTCTATCTTTAAGTTATCTTCTCGTCTAATTATATCAAGACGCTCTACTTTTTGTCTTTGTCGCACGTCAAGATCTCTTTCAATAGTAATATTATCAACTTGTTTAAACGGCTTACGTCTTTCAGCTGGTTGAGAAGGTATAATCTCAGGTTTATAAAATTTACCATCAGGCTTTAGATTATCTTGTGGTTTAATAACAGGTGCTCTTTCACCTTTTGTAGCACTATAGTCGTTTCGAACTTCGAGATCAATAAATTCACCTTCAGTTCTTAAATTATCTTCATGTCTTAGTATGATTACCTTTTCCATCTTTTCAATATGCTTGTAATCGTCCCTAGAGCGATGAACGTCAATAACTCCTTCCATTTTAAGATGGTCTTCATGTTTTATGATGTCCATACGGTCACCACGTGTTGCTGTAAAATCAGTTCTTCTTATGACTTCCATGTCCCCTTCTGGCTTCAGATTATCTTCTGGTTTCTTCTGAACAGGTCTTTCTCCAACAACATGTTTTGGTTTTTCAGGACGATCGAATACACCCTCTGGTTTAAGGTTATCTTGAGGCTTTTTCGGTGTTTGACGTTCCGCTGGTCGCCACTCTTCTTGTTTTGGCTTCTCAAATTCACCTTCGGGTTTTAAGTTATCCTTAGGTTTCTTTTGTACTGGTCTTTCAGCAGGACGCCACTCGTTATACTTAGGCTGTTCAAATTCACCTTCTGGTCGCAGATTATCTTGTGGTTTTTTAGGTGTCTGCCTCTCAGCTGGACGCCAATGATCATGCTTGGGTTGTTCAAACTCACCTTCAGGTTTAAGATTATCTTTCGGCTTCTTTTGAGCAGGCCGTTCAGCTGGTCGCCACACTTCTTTATCAGGTGTCTCAAATTGACCTTCCGGTTTTAAGTTATCTTTTGGTTTTTTGGGACTTTCCCTCTCAGCCGGACGCCATTCATCATGTTTCGGTTGCTCGAATTCACCTTCAGGTTTGAGGTTGTCCTGGGGTTTTTTTTGAATTGGTCGCTCAGCCGGACGCCATTGCTCTTTTTCAGGAGTTTCAAATTCACCTTCAGGTTTCAGGTTATCTCTCGGCTTCTTAGGAGTTTGTCTTTCAGCGGGACGCCACTCCTCATGTTTCGGTTGTTCGAAGTCTCCTTCTGATTTCAGATTATCTTGGGGTTTCTTTTGTGTCGCTCTTTCAGCAGGACGCCATTTCTCTGGTTTAGGTGTTTCAAATTCACCTTCCGGTCTAAGATTATCTATGGGTTTTTTCTGAATGGGCCTTTCAGCTGGACGCCAATGTTCATGTATAGGCTGTTCGAATTCACCCTCAGGTCTCAAATTGTCTTTTGGTTTCTTAGGCTTTTGTCTCTCTGCTGGACGCCATTCATCTTGTTTAGGTTGTTCAAATTCACCTTCGGGCCTAAGGTTATCTTGAGGTTTCTTTTGAACTGGTCGCTCAGCTGGACGCCACTGTACTTTATCCGGAGTTTCGAATTCACCTTCTGGTTTAAGGTTATCTTTAGGCTTTGTAGGAGTTTGCCGCTCTGCGGGACGCCACTCTTCATGTTTTGGTTGTTCAAATTCCCCTTCAGGCTTAAGATTATCTATTGGTTTCTTTTGAGTCGGTCGTTCAGCCGGCCGCCACTTTTCTTTGTCAGGAGTTTCGAATTCACCTTCAGGTTTAAGGTTGTCTTTTGGTCTACTAGGTGTTTGCCTTTCAGCAGGACGCCATTCATCATGCTTCGGTTGTTCGAAATCTCCTTCCGGCCTTAGATTATCTTGGGGTTTCTTTTGGATTGGTCTCTCTGCCGGACGCCACTCTTCATGTTTTGGTTGTTCAAACTCACCTTCTGGTTTCAAATTATCTTTTGGTTTTTTAGCAGTCTGTCTTTCTGCTGGACGCCATTCGTCTTGCTTAGGTTGTTCAAAGTCCCCTTCAGGTCTGAGGTTATCTTGAGGTTTCTTTTGAACAGGCCGCTCAGCTGGACGCCACTGTACTTTATCCGGAGTTTCGAATTCACCTTCTGGTTTAAGGTTATCTTTAGGCTTTGTAGGAGTTTGCCGCTCTGCGGGACGCCACTCTTCATGTTTTGGTTGTTCAAATTCCCCTTCAGGCTTAAGATTATCTACTGGTTTCTTTTGAGTCGGTCGTTCAGCCGGACGCCACTTTTCTTTATCAGGAGTTTCGAATTCACCTTCAGGTTTAAGGTTGTCTTTTGGTCTTCTAGGTGTTTGCCTTTCAGCAGGACGCCATTCATCATGCTTCGGTTGTTCGAAATCTCCTTCCGGCCTTAGATTATCTTGGGGTTTCTTTTGGATTGGTCTCTCTGCCGGACGCCACTCTTCATGTTTTGGTTGTTCAAACTCACCTTCTGGTTTCAAATTATCTTTTGGTTTTTTAGCAGTCTGTCTTTCTGCTGGACGCCATTCGTCTTGCTTAGGTTGTTCAAAGTCCCCTTCAGGTCTGAGGTTATCTTGAGGTTTTTTTTGAACAGGCCGCTCAGCTGGACGCCACTGTACTTTATCCGGAGTTTCGAATTCACCTTCTGGTTTAAGGTTATCTTTAGGCTTTGTAGGAGTTTGCCGCTCTGCGGGACGCCACTCTTCATGTTTTGGTTGTTCAAATTCCCCTTCAGGCTTAAGATTATCTATTGGTTTCTTTTGAGTCGGTCGTTCAGCCGGACGCCACTTTTCTTTATCAGGAGTTTCGAATTCACCTTCAGGTTTAAGGTTGTCTTTTGGTCTCCTAGGTGCTTGCCTTTCAGCAGGACGCCATTCTTCATGCTTCGGTTGCTCGAAATCTCCTTCCGGCCTTAGGTTATCTTGGGGTTTCTTTTGGATTGGTCTCTCTGCGGGACGCCACTCTTCATGTTTTGGTTGTTCGAATTCTCCTTCAGGCTTAAGATTATCTTTTGGTTTCTTTTGAGTCGGTCGTTCAGCCGGACGCCACATTTCTTTATCAGGAGTTTCGAATTCACCTTCAGGTTTAAGGTTGTCTTTTGGTCTACTAGGTGTTTGCCTTTCAGCAGGACGCCATTCATCATGCTTTGGTTGTTCGAAATCGCCTTCCGGCCTTAGATTATCTTGGGGTTTCTTTTGGATTGGTCTCTCTGCCGGACGCCACTCTTCATGTTTTGGTTGTTCAAACTCACCTTCTGGTTTCAAATTATCTTTTGGTTTTTTAGCAGTCTGTCTTTCTGCTGGACGCCATTCGTCTTGCTTAGGTTGTTCAAAGTCCCCTTCAGGTCTGAGGTTATCTTGAGGTTTCTTTTGAACAGGCCGCTCAGCTGGACGCCACTGTACTTTATCCGGAGTTTCGAATTCACCTTCTGGTTTAAGGTTATCTTTAGGCTTTGTAGGAGTTTGCCGCTCTGCGGGACGCCACTCTTCATGTTTTGGTTGTTCAAATTCCCCTTCAGGCTTAAGATTATCTACTGGTTTCTTTTGAGTCGGTCGTTCAGCCGGACGCCACTTTTCTTTATCAGGAGTTTCGAATTCACCTTCAGGTTTAAGGTTGTCTTTTGGTCTTCTAGGTGTTTGCCTTTCAGCAGGACGCCATTCATCATGCTTCGGTTGCTCGAAATCTCCTTCCGGTCTTAGGTTATCTTGGGGTTTCTTTTGGATTGGTCTCTCTGCCGGACGCCACTCCTCATGTTTTGGTTGTTCAAACTCACCCTCTGGTTTCAAATTATCTTTTGGTTTTTTAGCAGTCTGTCTTTCTGCTGGACGCCATTCGTCTTGCTTAGGTTGTTCAAAGTCCCCTTCAGGTCTGAGGTTGTCTTGAGGTTTCTTTTGAACTGGGCGCTCAGCTGGACGCCACTGTACTTTATCCGGAGTTTCGAAATCACCTTCCGGTTTTAGGTTATCTTTAGGCTTTGTAGGAGTTTGCCGTTCTGCGGGACGCCACTCTTCGTGTCTCGGTTGTTCGAATTCCCCTTCAGGCTTAAGATTATCTTTTGGTTTCTTTTGAATCGGTCGATCAGCCGGACGCCATTCTTCATGTTTAGGTTGTTCAAAATCACCTTCCGGTTTAAGATTGTCTTGAGGTTTCTTCTGAACTGGTCTTTCGGCTGGGCGCCATTTTTCAGGCTTTGGACTTTCAAATTCACCTTCGGGTCTTAAATTGTCTTTTGGCCTTTTAGGTAATTGTCTTTCAGCAGGCTGCCATTCGTCTTGTTTCGGTTGTTCGAATTCACCCTCTGGCTTTAAGTTATCTTTAGGCTTATTAGCAATAGGGCGTTCAGCTGGACGCCACTGCTCTTTATCCGGTGTTTCAAAATCTCCTTCAGGTTTCAAGTTATCTTTTGGCTTTTTAGCTGTCTGTCTTTCAGCGGGACGCCACTCTTCGTGCTTGGGTTGTTCAAAGTCACCCTCAGGTCTGAGATTGTCTATTGGTTTCTTTTGAGTCGGTCGTTCAGCTGGACGCCATTCTTCTTTTTCGGGAGTTTCAAAATCACCTTCAGTCTTCAAGTTATCTTTTGGCTTTTTAGGTGTCTGTCTCTCAGCGGGACGCCACTCTTCATGCTTTGGTTGTTCAAAGTCACCTTCTGGTTTTAAATTATCAACAGGCTTCTTTTGTTTGGGTCTTTCCGTAAGTTTCGGTTGATAAGTATCATTAGACACCGTATGACTATCAAAAGTACCTTCCATATGCAAGTTATCTTTTCTTATAATACGCTGTTGTCTGACGTCAGTCTCGTCATATGTCCTATACTCTTCTTGTGTTGTCGTTATTTTTTCTAACTCTTCTGTGGAATAAAACTTCTCAAAATCTTCTTTAGTCCATGTTCGACGTCTTTTTGGACGTTCAACAGGCGTATTTTTTTCGGGGAAATCTGTCTGATTGGACGTTATAAATTCTATTTCACCTTCGCGAATTAAATTATCAGTTTTCCGGGTGGCTATCTTAGTTCTTTCAACCGTGTCCGTGTAATCAATAAATTCAGATTTAGATGTTGTGTCTGTAATCATATCTCCTTCAATTTTTGTCCATGTATTGCGCCGTACTGGTTTTGGTCTCTCAACTGGTTTTACAGTATACTCGGTCCGCGATGTTGTAGTATCTAAAAAGTAAAATAGGAAACTGTATTTACTCGTATTTATTATTAACTAAATCGTTAGGGTATGGATGTTTTTTTACTCCTGGAATATTTTTAATCTTAATTATCTTTAAGATTTTTGAATGGTAATAATAGAGCTTGAAATAAGTTAACTTACCAGTAAACTCCCCTTCTGTGATAATGTTATCTGTGCGACGAACGATTTCAGCCCTTTCACCGGTCACCACTTTGTAATCTTCCGTTATGGTCCGTCTAGTTGTAAATTCACCCTCGGGTTGTAAATTGTCTTTTGGTTTTTTAACTATTGCCTTTTCTGCTGGCCTAAATTCATCAGGTTCTCGTTTGGCAAAATCACCTTCAGGCTTCAAATTATCAACAGGTCGTTTTTGTTGAGGTCTTTCTGCCGGCTTCCATTCATCTTTTTTAGGTGAAGTAAATTCACCTTCAGGTTTTAAGTTATCCTGTGGTTTCTTTTGTTTAGGACGTTCAGCTGGTTGCCAACGTTCTTTATCCGGCATTGTAAATTCACCTTCGGGCTTCAGATTATCTTCAGGCTTCTTAGGCTTTTGCCGCTCGGCGGGCTGCCATTGTTGTTTATCTGGAGTTGTAAACTGACCCTCAGGTCTCAAGTTGTCCTCAGGTTTTCTCACGGGAGCCCTGTCACCAGGACGCCATTCCTCCGGACGACGTTTATCAAAATCGCCTTCAGGCCTCAAGTTATCCTCGGGACGACGCACAGAAGCCCTGTCACCAGGTTGCCATTCATCAGGTATCCGTTTTACAAAATCACCCTCAGGATGTAAGTTATCTTCCGGCTTCTTAGGTTTTTGGCGCTCGGCAGGTCTCCAAGTTTCTTTTTCGGGGGTTGTGAATTCTCCTTCAGGCTTTAAATTATCTTCTGGACGTCGAACAGTTGCACGCTCTCCTGGGCGCCATTCATCAGGGCTATGCCTCTCAAAATCTCCTTCAGGTTTCAAATTGTCTTCAGGTTTTTTTACGGGAGCTCTTTCACCTGGGCGCCATTTCTCAGGTTCTCTTTGCTGGAAGTCTCCTTCAGGCTTAAGATTATCTTCTGGTTTTATTTGTTTTGGCCGTTCAGCTGGTTTCCATTGAGGACGTTCTGGTTCCTGGAAATCACCTTCAAGGCGAAGGTGGTCCTCATGATGAATAGCAGTAGTACGGCTCACGTGTTTCTCATCGTAGTCACGCTTGTATGCGGAGACCACGCTCGTCGTGTGCTCCACATCGAACAATGGCTCCGGGACATCGTTGTGTGGGCAACGGTGACGCCTGCAAACAAAACACAGTAATAAACATCTACTCTGCAATCAATAACATAGCGCACTTAAACCAATATCAAGAGCTTTTGCGATTTCGCACCTTTTGAAACGATATGGATGGAGAAACAAAGGGAACCTTCGGGGCTGTGGTAAAGGAGGTAGTGTCAGTGAATTGGCCATCACACGCGTCCATTGCGCTCATTCCCTTTTTTTTTTCGAGCCACTAAGCAATAGCACTTTGTGCACTGCACATCTGAATAGGAACACGGAATGAACGCTAGGTACCTTTATCGTACATTATGTGTCCTATTCTGATTTTAACAAAGGTGTTTGATACATGATCTCAAGAAAATGAATAATATTATCATTATTTTTCGCATAGATAAAACTCTGTTTTCAAGTGAATTTATCAAGAAAGACTGGAGCTATCATTTATGAAAGGATATGTAAACACAATACAAACATTGAGAAATGAAGTAAGTTTGACCGCACGTAAAATATTTTAATTATAGAATCAAAACTTAAATAATATATAATCAAAACTATAAGTGCTAGCACGTTTCACTTTATTGAGCACGTTCTAATGAACGAAATCTTATGTGTTCTTAAGGCTAAGTGTATTAAAAGTAGCACTGTGGCGTTTTAGTAGCGGGGTACCTAGTATCCGGCGACCTAGATACGTCAAGCTCGTCCCGAGAACTGCCGCACCGTGCCGAGTCATGAAACTGAAAAGGTTTTTCATATCAACAAGTATGTAAATTCAACAATTAGTCGTCCGAATACAAAACTGTCATCATTAGAAATCTGGGTGACCTAGGTATTGATTATTATCAAAGTCTGGGAGACATAATTACACCTAATGCGACTAATTCTAATTAGATCATAAACAAGTAACATACATTTCTTATGTTATATATATTATACTTTTTGTTGATAAGATAGTTATTTTTTACGTCAATATACACAATATACAAGATTGATCTAAAGATTTGATTGTTCATGAGTTCATGACAGGACGAACTTCGACTGACCGAGTTACGAGTTGCTACAGTAACGCTGATCGAAGTTTGCGTGTGATCCAAGCAAGCTACTGTACACCGTTGGCCTGTGTTGCTCTAGGCATAGAATAGACAAAACACAACCACTGAGGGTTTTAAAAAATATTCCCCCTAAGTCGTTTACCGCGATATGATGTGAGTTTTAATGTAAAATATATACTTATGTAAGAGGTAATTACCTTATTTATGTAAGAGTTTGCACTGTAACGTATTTTAAATTTCATGTCATAAAAAGTTACTGCTGTTGCAATTTATTTATTTAAGATGATATTAAAGCCTTTTTCGTGCATTCTTCCCAGTAGTTAAATATTTTTTTTATTCTCAAAAAATCAATGATTTAAACACAAAGAAAATCTCTGAAACTGATATAAGTACGTAGGTCTACAATATTTCAGTCACTGAATAAGCATTTCAACGTTAGTATGAATCAACATTTCAATAGCACTTTATATATCTTTCGCTCATCATTTAATGGCCACAAGTCGTTAATGTAATGAATTATGGATAGCTTTGTATAAAACTGCCCCTTGAAACATGTACGTGTTGGTAGATATAGGTTTTAAGAGAAATCAAGAGGAAATAATATTTGTATTCAGAGCTTGTATTCAGCTATGCATACTGAGTGCATGCGGTGTGTAGGTGATTGTAGTTCACCAGAGGCTATCCAGATATAGAAATGAGCCAATTACTCAACGAACCAGCTTGCCAATCGCGGCCCTCTCTCTACTTGCAGTCGGTGAGCCCCGCAACACGAAGACATTAACCCTTTAGCAATTAAAGATATTTTATTCTTGCTGAGTCACTTTATAGATGCACTTAACAAGATAAAACAAAGAAATTCATGTTATATTCTTCCTTGAAATAAAAGGAGGGCCTCCTTATGTAAAATTAGTAGTACGTTACTTCAAAAACTGGAGAGGCCTTCTACAAGAGCTATACCTAATACCTCCACCATTTCCGTGGTCAGAAAAACAAGATAGAAAATGTGCTCATTGAAAATGAAACCGATTTTGATTTAATAGTCAAGTCAAGTCGTGATCTAGTTTACGGTCGCCTAGCGATGGGAACCAAACATGTTCTAATCCCTATATTACTCCAAATACTTCGATCAATATCCTGTCTTAAAAAGGTCATTCGGTGTCCCTCTAGTGTAACCGCCTCCTAAAAGAAAATCAATTCATTTGTGTATTTCATTGAAATATAAATTTAGACTGCCTTTAAATAGAAATTTATCAATCTTGCACATTGTTTATCTTTATTATAACATTTAATTATATTTAGATATTGTTATTATTAGGAATATAGTTCAGACTGTTACTTACATATTGTTTGAAATATGTAATTATCTATTACATCGCCTCACACACACATCAAGTAGATTTATCACAAAACTATGTTAGCAAATAACGATCAACAATTTGACTCACATGAGGTAACATATCACGAAACAAAACTGATACTGACGGAAAAGAATATCCCAAAAGATATTTGTAACATAGATAACAATAGCTATTACACATTCAGTTGATATGCGACGGCTTAGCAGTAGAGCGATGCGTGTCGATCGTCGCTTATCACCCAGCCAGGTTTAACACTTTCACGTTAGAATACTACTTTTGATACTGGGTACAACTTGTGATCATGTTCTTAACTACATTGTGACTTTACCAAATTTTATAATTAACAGTGAAAAAGTGTTTGCTCTAACACCTTCGTGAAAAAATATGTGGTTCAGTAGCTAAATGACAAAAAGTAACCTTCAAATTAATATACCGAACTAAAATCATACTAGTACAAAAGGTTATAATAAATATAAATTAAAAAGAAAATTGAGAGTCAATAATCTTTGAACTGTTGAATCAAGGTCCTCGAATGGCCTAGGACATATCAACTTTGTCATCTTTCAAACAAAAAGAACTAAATTCAAATTCATACATTCCTTTCCACAGATACATATACCCGTAAAACTTTAAAACCATATATTTCGTGTCGGAGGTTGCGGCTCAGTTTAACTGTATAATAGATTGGTTGTAAATAAGCTGAACGGAATTATAAAATAATAAACTTAAATCTTTGAAATTAATGTCAGACATCCAAACTAAACCGCGTACGGCTAATTAAATCACAGTAAGTAAATCAAAAAGTTTTTAGTGGAATTATCACATACTCCTCTAGCTCCTAAGTATACGAGGAGCAGGAAATCTGAAGGGATTTTCCACCTCGTCAACAAAAAAAAGTACTTAAATGTGATGATAACTAACTAATAGATATGCAACGTAACAAAAGTTTTGCTATTCAGTTTCACACCAAACACAGGTAAATTTTTATATTAAACAGTTACTAATTACAATCATCAGCATATCCATCTAAAGATGCAGGAAATCCTCTTAAATAAATACAAATGAAATAAATATTTACGTCACCGTCTGAGTAACGTCTGTATAAAAGTATCAGTTACCTTCGAACAGCTGTTTAATATTGCAAAATTTTATGAAATTATTTACAAGCTATTTCCAGGGAATGGGCATCATCTGTTGACTATAAATAATGTATTTTTATCCTTAAAATGAAATAAGGTCACGGCATTATTAACACAAACCGCAGTGAATGAGACTTTGTGAATCAATGGCAATGAAGGGTACGGAGAAAAAGACCCTGACACAAGTACATAAAAATATGCATGACTTCACCACTGCTCATAAGTGAACAAGTTGTTGACTCTATTTATGGTTATTCTGTAAACGATCAATGTAAATTCTTTACAAGTATTTTTACATTTATTTTATTGCAATTTATTTAATGCATAGTATATATTTCGGTATTACGATTACAACATAGTCTTAAGTCTTAACTAATTAACCAATTAAATAAAATGTATCTAGAAATATTTGGCGGTTAAGCGCTAAGTTTTCCTTGCGATTTACATTCAATGGCATCGTTCATCCTTCTAGCTCTCTTTTTTAAATTAAGTACGAAATTGGAACTAGAAACACATTTGGAATCAACTATAAACTATGTAAATGTCTTCCAAATCTAGCTGGCAGGAATAAAGAATTAAAAAAACACAACATGTTTTAAATGATCAAACTATGTATTATAGGTCCTTATTGACTGAAACTAGAGAATACAACATAATACATACAGTTTGTTGCAAACATCCACGCTCTACTTATTGTTTTACAACCCTCTGTTTTAAAGAATTAACTTGAAAATGTAATGAGTGTCGTCCCTTTTATCATGCTATCTTCATATTAAAATACGACAGGTGCATAGTAAAGGACCTCAAGTGAAAGCTCTACCAAAACTTACGCACTGACAAATAATACATTTTATACTTATGCATTATTGAGGGAGCAGATAACATCAACGTGTTAGTATTCTAGCCGCGAACCATGTTTTTTTTTGTTTCTCACCACTTAAAACATTGTCTACTCTTTTTGAAAAATATATTATTGTAGTATAAAATCAAATCACGTTTCTGCTATGGTTGCTAATTTAAACTGTGAGAATACACTAAAGTCAGTGACCTATAGTTTTAGAAGTGTTTCAGACAAAAGATGAGTTAGAAGACGTTACAATTTTTTTAATGTTTTACGCGGACTATTCATTGTCTTTTCAGTGATCTATTTGACACCAGTTAAAAAGACCAATACACTACAAGTTATGTAGGGCTTTGAATTACTACAATGAGTTTTCAGCGACTAGAGTTAAATGACTACTTCTGTTGCCTGCTAATGTGCCGTTTAACTTACAGATGCACATATGTTAAAGGCCTGACTCACTTGAAGAGTATAATAAGTGTCAGATGACGGAGCTGGTGCCTCTGCGCCGGTTGCTATATCGGGACGATTACTCAAGTATTCGTATGTGCAATACCACTTTAATCAGACACGCTTACCATAAGCTCTGACTAACGGGTCCTTTTGAGAAACATTTCGTTGTTAAATGACTG